GAGTGTGTGAGTGTGAGGATGTGTGTATGTGAGAGTGTGTGAGTGTGAGGATGTGTGTGTGAAGATGTGTGTGTGAGAGTGTGTATGTGAGAGTGTGTGAGTGTGTGGATGTGTGTGTGACAGTGTTTGTATGTGAGTGTGTGAGTGTGAGGATGTGTGTGTATGTGAGAGTGTGTGAGTGTGAGGATGCGTGTGTGACAGTGTGTGTATGTGAGAGAGTGTGTGTGTGAGGATGCGTTTGAGAGAGAGTGTGTGTATGTGAGAGTGTGAGGATGTGTGTGAGTGTGTGTATGTAAGAGTGTGTGAGTATGAGGATGCATATGTGAGGATGCATGTGTGAGAGTGTGTGAGGATGCGTGTTTGAGAGTGTGTGAGGATGTGTGTGTGTGTGGGAGTGCGTGTATGTGAGAGTGAGTGTATGTAAGGATGCTTGTGTGAGAGTGCGTGTTGAAAAAGTGTTTGTGAGAGTGAGTATATGTGAGGATGTGTGTGAAGTGAGTGTGTGTTGAAAAAGTGTTTGAGAGAGTGAGTGTATGTGAGGATGCGTGAGAAGGGGTTTGGTGTGAAAAAAGTGTGAGAAAGAGTGTGTGAGAGTGAGTGTGTGTGAGGACATGTGTGAGTGTGTGTATGTAATGCGTGTGAGAGTATGAGTGTGTTTTTACCTTTGCACGAACTATAGCGTTGCTCCTTGGTCTCCTGGGTATGAAATATTCAAGCAGTAGTATGAGGCAAACATCAACTTTAGAGCATCGCAGAAGATGGTGATGTGGCTGTTAACTATGACTTGGTTGACAGACTTCTCTGCAGTCAAAGGGGAACTTCATGTTGTTATGCACAAGAAAAAGGAGAGATCAGTAACACTGTGACAAACTTAAATTCCCGCAAATATTAAATAGTTTTCCTTTAAAAATATTCAAACATACCACACACAATTATGCAGGGTGTACTTGGAAGTTTGGCAGTCTACTTCAGAGGGCAAGGTTGTCTGATCCACTTAATGGAACATCTGGTCCTCTCTCTAGCCGAAGTAACCAATAGAAATAATTTATTAAAAAGTGACTTAATATGGAGATACAAGGTCTGGCAACATATTCACAGATTCAAACTTACCTGATCAATAACTCCTGAGCAAAACGTTCTTAAAACACAAATGACACATCTTTCTAATAACAGTATCGTAGACAACCAGCTAACGACCTAATTTTCCGCGAAACGAGCCTGTTTTTCCGTCAGGGACAATATAGCAGTTAGACTACTTGGTAACGAAACCTAAAACTACTAAATTATGTAGTCAAATTCGGATAAAATCTAACAAAAAGAAAGAAAAACTACAGAGTAACATCAAATGAAACCTAAATTTGACACTTTTTTGAAGATTTTAAATGACTAACGGTAAGTTCCTGGTCAACGCCGAAGTTTGAAACACACACTGGTTTAACGATTCAAAGAGGTAAACATTCTAAATGCTAGGACTCAAATATAGTAGAAGTAAGTTAGCATAACCAAATTAGAAAACATGTAAGTTACTTTAACTTACCTGCTTATTTTCACCTCACATCGAAGATTGAACGCAAATCTGAAGGTCGAGTGATTCCTTCGCGCGCGCAGCAGCCCCACTGCGTGCTTAGAGGAGAACGTATCCTTGCACCACATGACAACAATGACGTGTGTTTCTAACATCTTCAAATCCAATACTGCTCATAAAGCTGTGTTTTTAGAACATTAAAAGCTTTTCTACTGTAGTTGCAATGTTATATTGAGTCACGTTTATCATGAAAGAATATATACCCCCACTTTATTAGTATTTAAATAGTATATATTTACGGTGAACTTTATTCTTGAACAGATGGCACTGAATTAAGCAGTATATAAAAAGTGTTTCGGTTGCTCATGAAAACGTTTCTGAAATGTCTGTGTATTTGACAAATATTGCATTTAATTCACTTCATCTGTGATAGAGTATGCAAACACCGCGTGAGTGTCACTAACGGGAGCAGAAAGTGTCTGGCTTGACGGCTCCGTTTTCAACTCCGCCCCCGACTGCAAGCGGCTACTCTTATTGACTGCCGTCTGTAGCGGTGCTTCAAGTCGAACGCACCTACAGACAAGGGAATCACATGACTAGACAATAACCAATGAAAACATGACACAAACACAAGGCTGAGGGTGCGTCCGAAATCGCATACTGCTTAGTAGGTACTACATTTGAATTTGAACGTACTACTCGACCGTTAAAAAAGTACGTTCTATATAGTATGAATGCGAGTAGTATGAATGGAATTCGGACGTACTACATCCGCCATGTTGATGTTGTCACGTGACATGCGTCTCCACAACAACAACAGCGCCTAAAGAGCCCTCACTACTGCGAACATCAGCAGTGTTTCACGTAATTCTTACCACTTTCATCGGCGATTAAACATCTTTTTACAGCCGACTCACGAAATCATCTCATCGACTTACAATGTTTAAACTTTCAATAAGTCAGCCGTTCACTTAGATCATGTTAAACAAGTGCAATTTAACCACAGTGAACAAGGTTTTTCCCTGACGTACTTACACTTGAAAAGAGCCGCGTCGCCGCCTCCCGCCGTTCTCGAATATGGCGCGTCCTCTCGCGTGGCCTCATGGGATAGTAAAGTGTCCATCCTATGCATGCTACGGAATTCGGGCGGAAGTAGTAGGTCATCCGGGTACTTCTCGCCTACTGTTTTTCGAATACTATGAATTCGGACGTACTACTCGCCTCGCATACTGTTTTTCGCCTACTACATAGTATGGAAGTATGCGATTTCGGACGCAGCTCTTGGCTCTCTTCGCAGTTATGTAAGGATGACTGTCACTTTTTCCCTAGCTTCCTTAACTAACAAGTTTTGTTAGACATCAGTACGATGTGAATGGCTTCTGCTGGAGCACGTTTAGCGCGGCTTTATATCTCATGTTCCGGTGTTATTTTACGTAGATCGCTATCACACGCGGGGATGGAAGACATGGGCGTAAACACGAGCCGCTCTTGCCTTGAGCGACTGGAGTTTGACAATGTTGCTCTTAAAAAACTTCCACTGGACCCGTCCACCGAACCAGGGATCCGACAGGTCCGGGGGGCCTGCTTCTCTAGAGTCCAACCCACCCCTCTGAAGAACCCAGAGTTTGTGGCAGTTTCAGGTCCAACTCTGGCACTGCTGGGTCTTGATGCTGATGAGGTTCTGAAGGATCCACTGGGCCCAGAGTATCTCAGTGGATCTAAAGTGATGCCAGGATCAGAGCCTGCTGCCCATTGCTACTGCGGGCACCAGTTTGGACAGTTTGCAGGACAGCTTGGGGATGGAGCTGCATGTTATCTGGGAGAAGTGAAAGCCCCAGTGCATCAGAGCCCTGAATTACTGCTTGAGAATCCCACTGGACGCTGGGAGATTCAGGTGAAGGGTGCTGGACTGACACCGTACTCTAGGTAGGCCTGCTACTGCATTTTCACTGCTGCTTTGTCAACATTTTGTGTGCCACATTATGTTGTGATATTCTCATTGACTGTTCACATTTGAAATGATCATTCTGGAGATGCCAGTTCCACTTTACTTTTCTTTCCTTAAGATCTTTGTCCAGTTTTTGTCCTTTGTTTTTTTTTTTTAGACAGGCAGATGGGCGAAAGGTTTTGCGCTCCAGCATACGCGAGTTCCTGTGCAGCGAGGCAGTTTTTGGCTTAGGAGTCCCAACAACGAGAGCTGGGTCAGTAGTGACGTCAGATTCACGAGTCATGAGGGATGTCTTCTACGATGGCAATCCACGCATGGAAAGATGCTCTGTGGTCTTGCGCATTGCTCCCAGCTTTATTAGGTAACCCTGCTGTTTTTTTTTTTTTTTTTTTTTTTTTTTTTTTTTGTATTTTTTTTTTTTATGTGCTTTCTTCATCTTCATTTTTCATTCTATTTAGCTTTATTTTATTTTTATTAATTTTAGTTCTTGAACTTATTTTATTATAGTTAGTATTCAAGGAAAATGTTCTCATTTAAAACAAATATTCGTTTTGTTTTTTTTATTTCAGCTTTATTTAAATTACTGATTTAAAAAAATAGATTTAGCTAACAATAACAACACTATCTCAACTATCTCTTTTTGACATTGATTTACAGCACATCAGTTTTTATATCTATAAATGAAATGGTGTCACTTGTAAAGGTCTTTTAGGTCTAGCTGTCATCGTTCTAGAAGTTAAGATGTTGACCTGATTCTTGATGTAGGTTTGGATCATTTGAGATCTTCAAACGAGCTGATGAGTTCACTGGCCGACAAGGTCCCAGCTATGGCCACGATGAGATCAGAACCCAGATGCTGGATTATGTCATAGAGAGCTTCTACCCAGAGATCCATCAGAATCACTCAGACCGCATTGAGAGGAATACTGCTTTCTTCAGAGAGGTAGACTGAGGTCTATTTATTGCTTTTAATAATACCAGTGCAGTGGTTTTGGTATTGATCCATTTAAACTCCAGACCATTTTTTTTTAGTTCCAGCAGTTGTTTGTTGGTCTCATGCAATCATCTTCTTATCCTCAGTGACCTTATTTACCTGAGTGACTTTGGCAGGCTACCATCATCAGATTTAGCTTCTTATCCACTGAGACTATATTAGTGCATGTTATCACTGAGCAGTGATTCAATTAGCTAATAAATACAAAATTATATTTTCTTTAAATAGAACTATTGTACATTTAAATTTATTTGTGATTTACGAGATTATGAGAATAAATACTAACACAATATTTCATTTTAATTCTTATTCTATTCTTTACTAAAATATTTATTTGTTTGTTTATTTTATAATGGCAGTTCAAGCTTTGACAGGAAAATAATGGGAACAGATGTGTGTCTACATTTAGATTAGTAATATTTTAGATAAATCATTCAATATCAGATATAACTTTCCATCTTTATTGTGCTTTTCTATATGTACTTGAATATGCACTTTTATTACTAGGTGACCTTACGAACAGCGAGGCTGGTGGCTCAGTGGCAGTGTGTGGGTTTCTGTCATGGAGTCCTCAATACTGATAACATGAGCATCCTGGGCCTGACTTTGGACTATGGGCCTTTTGGCTTCATGGACCGGTAAAGTCTGATATAAATCTCAAACGTTATTCCGACTGTTCAGCAATAATTTGCATTAATGAGCAATCATTCATGAACATTAATTTCCTTGTTTTTTCTTTCTAGTTTTGACCCAGACTTCATCTGTAATGCTTCCGATACTTCAGGCCGGTATTCTTACCAAGCCCAGCCGGCCATCTGCCGCTGGAATTTAGCTCGGCTCGCTGAAGCCCTGGTACCTGATCTACCACCAGACCGCGCCAAACAAGTGCTGGATGAGTACCTGCCTCTATACAATGACTTCTATCTGAGCAACATGAGGAAGAAACTGGGTCTGCTGAAGAAGGAAGAACCAGAGGACGAGATACTCCTCACAGAACTTATGCAGACTATGCATAACACGGGTATGAAGATAGTATGAAGAACAATCATCCTGGAGCAATTGTGTTATTCATGGTTCTGTAAAATGTCTTGATGTGTCAAATATATTAGAAAAGGGGGATCATTTTGTTCTATCTCTCTTCCTTTTCCTCCTCTTAGGTGCGGATTTCAGCAACACTTTCCGTAGCTTGAGTCAGATTTCCTGCCCAACACAGCAGGAGGGGGAAGATGAAAGTGAGGCTATAAAACAAGCCACAGAGCTTCTCCTGCAGCAGTGTGCCTCTCTAGAGGAGCTCAAAGCTGCAAACAGACCTACCATGGATCCACGGTAACACCTCAGGGTATATTCTCATGTACACTACCATTCAAAAGTTTGTGGTCAGAAAGAATTGTAAATGTTTTTAAAACAGATTATGCTCTTATGCTCACCAAGGCTGCATTTATTTTGATTAAATATATAAATATATATAAAACCGTTATATTGTGAAATGTATTACAATATAAAATAATATTTGACTATATTTTAAAATGTAATTTATTCCTGTGATGGCAAAGCTGAATTTTCAGTAGCAATTACTCCAGTCTTCAGTGTCATGTGATCCTTCAGAAATCCTTCTGATATGCTGAATTGGTGCTCAAGAAACATTTATTATGATTATCAATGTTGAAAACAGTTTTGTCTTTACGGTCACTTTTGATCAGTTTAATTCATCCTTGCTGAAAAAAAAGTATTAATTTTGTTTAAATAAAAATAACTTACCCCAAACTGTTGAATAGTAGTGTATATATTTTGAAATTTTTACCATAAATAGTGTAAAATGTATTAATGGTGTATAATGATCAAAGTTCTGCTTGGTTTACTATGTAGTAAGCCCAACTGAACTAGCTCCTCTAGCTCTTAAAAAAAATTTCAATTTACCAACTAAAGACAAAATGTCACACTGTTCTCATTATCTACTTTAAGATGGGAATAGATTTTTGGACTGTTGTTCAGAGCAAAAAGTTCAAAAATAAAAAAATAATTAAATATTTAACTTAACTTAAATATTTAATGTGACCCTGACAACTAACTGAAATAAAAAAGAAAAAAATATTTTAAAAGAATAAAAACTAAACCACTAAGTGACAAAAGCACATATAAAAATAAAGGTGAATTTGAAAGTATCTATAATAGTTTTATAGAAAATATCTATAAAAGAACACTAACTAAATATAATATGGTTTAAAATGGAAAAAGAAATAGTTAAATATCTTTATTTGCATATTTCTGTTCAGTGATGTTTTCTTTCCTTCAATATAGTGAACTTGCAATGCTGCTGTCCATGGCTCAGAGTAACCCTGCACTGTTCCAGATGATTTCGGACAGGAAGACAGTCGCCCGGCAGCTGGAAAGGCTCTCAAGATTGAAGGAGCTGATGGACACCACTGTAGAACAACTAAGGGCCAAACAGACTGAAGACTGGTCCCGCTGGATCAAAAAATACAGGTACAGAAAGGAATCTTTGAATTCTTTTGATCTGATGCATTCATTTCCTGTTGACGGTGAAAAATATATTGTAAAACATTGATTTTTAAATCAAAAAGACCTGAAGAGGACTTGACGAAGTATGTGTAAATTAATTCATTTTTTTTCCCTACTACAATGTACTTTTGCATATATTGTCTATCCAATTCCCAAGGCAGCGGCTTGCTTGTGAGTGTGAATCAGGGCTTGATGTGAAAGAACTACAGGAGGAGAGAGTACGTGTGATGAACAACAACAACCCATATGTGGTACTCAGAAACTACATCGCCCAGAATGCAGTAGAGGCAGCTGAAAATGGTGACTTCTCAGAGGTGGGGCCCTTACAAGCTTTGTGTTCGTTTTACTCTCTAGTAAGAGACACAGATTTTTTTTTTTTACTCAAATTAATGCTTTTATTCAGTTAGGAAATTCAATTGATCAAAAGTGACAGTTGAAGAATTGTACATTGTTATAAACAATTCTGTTTGAAATAAATGCTGTTATTTTATATTTCTGTTCATCAAAGAAAAAGAAAAAAAAATGTACCACAGTTTTTACAAAAATATTTAGCAGCACAACTTTTCTGAAAATTAGAGTTCAGCAAATTTGAATACAACGATCATGTGAAACTGAAGACTGGAGTAATGACTGTTGAAAATTGCATTTTAAAATATATAAAAATGGAAAACATTTGTTTTAAATTGTTATGTTTCACAATATTACTAAGAGACTTATTTAAAAAAAAAATTTTTAATTTGAATAGTTATGTTACTATTGAAAAGATGTTATAAATGTTATGATGTCTCTTAATAGTTAATGTTTTTTATTTGCGATCTTTATAATTTCTCATTTTATGTGATTGCATGGCATAAATTCCATAAAGTCTTAAAAATCTGCACTTAGACTTTTTTGTCTTCTCAAATTCATTAGGTCCAGAGAGTTCTGAAAGTGTTGGAAAAGCCGTTCTCTGTGCAGGAAGGTCTTGAAAAGCCAGGCTGGGTGGGAAGAGGAGGAGCGGCGGATTCTGGAGAAAGAGATGAGACCGGAGAACAAGGGAATACTTCTGGAGCAGAGGCTCGAGTACTTGTCCCATATGACAGCAAGCCCCCCATGTGGGCCAATGAGATCTGTGTCACCTGATCATCATAAAACCTTCATGACAACTAACCTGCTCATTTAAGCAGAATAATCCTGCAGAAGCTAGTGAGGTGTCAGTGAAGGTATTAAATGAGGCATTAAACTCCTGTCCACCAGTTCAAAACATGGAGTAAGATAATGTGTAGGGGGCTAAATGAAAATTCAGCACATTTATCTCTGTATATTTGACTGGTTACAAATGATGATTTAGACCCCCAGTCTAACCATGACAGGTCTGAGTCTGAAAGATAGAAGTTATGCCTTTATATAAAATGACTTTGGATTTGAAGTGAAACGCACAAGCTCCAAGCTCCAAGCTCCAAGCTCAAACGCACAAACATATGTAATCGTTTACCTAAAGGGTCTCGCTTTAAATCATGTAGTTATACATGTATGTAGCGCTGATTTAACACAATTAATTTGTAGCTGGAATAGTCTTATTATTCAACAACTACATTTAATAAAATTTTCACTTAAGTACTTTAAGTTTCCTTACCACACAGCTTCGCCTAATTCATTTTTTAAATTGTAATTTGAAAATGCATAACTCATCAGAAGTGTACATTTTACATATTAATTTTGGAGCCAACAGAGGTAGTACAGTATTTTCATATGCTTTGTGTCTATTCCTGAAATGACATTTTGATTTCGTTCAAAATATAATTAACAGAATTTTTATGAACTTCCCTGATGAATATGCAATATTTCTAAGATAAAGTACTTATTTAATAAACATAACAAATAGCATGTGTTCTAATTTTGTAAACCAGGATTAAAAGACATTTTAAAATAAAACAATAAAAGACATTTGGGACCTTTTCAGTGAGAGTGTGTGGGGAAGCGGCTTCCATTGTTTTCATTTATAGGGAGGAATGTCTGTGCCTCGGGCCCAGTACTTAGGTAACATGTTAACACAGGTTCAGATGTGCACCTAAATATTTTAAGGCAGATTTCAACAGTGCCAAGTACTTGCAGACAAAAAAAAAACTCCCTGTAATATATTGCATATAGCGGGAAACAAGCATTCTTCTTTGTTCATATTGCAAAAGACCAAAATGCATTGGACTCCTAAAGCCCTCGTTTTTATGTTTTTCAAGGCTGTGGAAGAACAAACATGCACCAGTTCTCAAATTAACTGAAGAAAGATCATGTTCTTGCTTATTTTGTCTCAGTGACGCAACTCATGTATGGAAAGCTGTTTTGACATTTATTCCATTAAACCTACTGGTATATATTTTATGGCACGAATACTTTTTTAATTACTAGTAAGTAATTTAATAAAGATTAGATTACATTTTCAATTTTGTTACTAACTTAAATTTGAATTCTAAGTACTTATTCCGTTAGCATCTAGAATGTAGTATTACATATTCATTACATAATTGTAATATTACTTCACTACTAGTCACTATCCCAATAATGACAAGTAATTATCTCATTTTTATTTTAACAAATTTCTTTGCAATTGAATTCTATGGGAATCTGTGTTCAGATATCAGCTGTTAATTCTGAGAGGGTGTTTACACAGCAGCGTTTTCAACTAGAAACTTTTTATACGTTTTGGTTGTTCATTTACACGACAACAGCGTTTTGGAGGCCTGAAAATGCAAACTTTTGAAAGCAGGTTTCAAAGTGCAAGTTTTTGAAAACGATACTGTCAGTCTGTGTGCAAATTTGCACAAACATGTAGCGTTTCTTTACAAAGTGACATCAGCAACTACTGACCTGGCATGCATAATACACCATTTTTAGCCGTTTTTTTGTCTGTATGCGAAACTTTTCAGTTCTTAGTACAATCGTTGTCATGCAAACATACTCAGTGTTATTCATTAGTACGTTTTCAATATGTTGCTCATACCTATTCCAGTTTTACTTGTAACTATTTAATTACTAGCATCTATTCCAGTTTTCCTAGTACTGAATGGGCAGTTTTGTGGGATAGACTGAATACTAGTCTCTACTTGAATCATAGTTATTTAGAGTAGTTAGTGACCCTGGGAAATATACTGGTCGCTATTTGGTTACTTACTCATGTATTTTTAAAGTATAGTAACATTAAAATAGGTATTTGGTTTACACAATAGCTTTATGTTAATACAGCTTGCCATACACACTGCCACGCCGGAGAGGGAGCGGTTGCGCGGGCACGCACAGGTAGATTTCTATTATCAGTGTTCAGGTTAACCTGGAAATCACAGCTGCGGGTCTCGAGGTAGCACATATTTTTCACCAATATGTCAGGCCGATCAAGACCTGGCTATTATCGTCAGGAGGTGAATAAAACCTGTTGGGAGGTTCCGGAGAGATACAGAGATATGAAACAGGTGGGGACGGGGGCATATGGTACAGTATGGTGAGTGCTACTCTCATTTTCTGTACTTCCTGGAAAGATTCGTGCTTTACATTTGAAAAACACGTAATGCATTGTCACTGTAGCAGATCCATGTATCTGGCGTCTATTCAAAACAAATGATGTGTAAGGAGGTAGTCAAGCACAAGTGAAACATCACTTTATGATTAAGATGCCCAGAAGTGGCTTGAGATATTCAGTTGTACGGTATGTTTGAGAGTAGCCTGCGTATGTTTTCTCACTTGAAGATATTCAAGATAAACAAAGACAGAAAATGAGAGTTCCAAATGAGAAATCCAGTGCCTGCAAAACTACGTTGTGTACAGCTCGTTGCATATGAGGTTAATAATTATAAGATGGCAGCTGTTGACGAATACTGTGGTCAGGTGATGCTGGTTTATTGCATGTCCTCACCTTTCCATATTTGATTTAAAAGGCCCAGAGGAATATCCCAGAGTAATATCACTATTAAGACAAGTCCCACAACTTAAAGGTGCAGTGTGTAAATTGTAGCGTACGGTGCCCGTTAGGTGACATGTTCGGTTCACTTAGTTGTATTTATTATGTCTACGGCTCACCCCACCAGAGAAGCTATGGCGGCCGATACAGGACTAAAGCCCAATTTATACTTCTGCGTCGAACCTACGCCTTAGCTTACGCATAGACGCACACCCATACGCCGCAGCCTGACCTGCACCTCTCTAAAAATCTAACAGCGCGTCAATTCTACGCAGACCGCAAGCACTGTGATTGGTCTGCAAGAACCCCTCCCTCCATATGTACTCGAGTTTTGTGTGTGTTTATGTGCACTTTAATATATTTTAATGTTACACCTTCTTATATAAAATAAAACAAAGCAAAGAACGAGTGTCTTATCATTTATTATACTACATAGCATTATACATCAGTAGTTGTCCGCAACAAACAATGTTGATCTGCCGTGGTACAAGTCCTTGTGCAGATTGAAAGAATGCCATCATCTCCTGTTCCGTTGTTGTCTCCTTTTTGTAGTTTTAAATAATGATTTAATGATTTGATAGCTTCTCCTACAAGCCGCTTCTTCTTCGACTTTTGCCGTGGTACTGCGGGTTACACCAGCAACATGCCCGTGGACACTGCGGACTAGCGGTTTGCATGTGTACTGCACGTTGATGCGGACAACGACGCAGAAGTATAAATGAAAACTGACACATAGCCTACGGCGTAGGTCAGACGCAGAAGTATAAATCAGCCTTAAGATGTCGTAGTTTGAGACAGCAGAGAGTAGCCAGCAGGCACAGCGCCAGAATTATTTCTCTACCGGTGCTAAGGGGAGGCTAGACCAATATGTGGGGGTGCTAAGAAAATAAATGATATTGATGACGTCAGAGTAAACCGGGGCTATTCAAAATTCTGACGGCGCTATAGCCCCCCCTAGCCCCAGTGTAGCGCCGTCACTGGTAGCCAGCAATGAGGTTTCTTTACAAAGGTAAATTAAGGAATTATATTTACTTAATTATTCAATAAAACAATGTTATTGCGAATATTATTGTTACTTCTTCATCATTGTGTCAGTGTTTTATTCGCAAGAACAACATAGTGACGAAACGTGCTCTGTTGGTCCTTTGCGACTTCCAAGGCCCTGTCCCAAATGGAACACTTCATGTGCACTTGTGGTCTTACAGACTTACAATGGCCGCCGTGTGCGCATGTCTGTTAAGTCCACGAGACCGTAGGGTGTCCCATTTGTCGAGTGCTACTCTCATTTTCTGTACTTCCTGGAAAGATTCGTGCTTTACATTTGAAAAACACGTAATGCATTGTCACTGTAGCAGATCCATGTATCTGGCGTCTATTCAAAACAAATGATGTGTAAGGAGGTAGTCAAGCACAAGTGAAACATCACTTTATGATTAAGATGCCCAGAAGTGGCTTGAGATATTCAGTTGTACGGTATGTTTGAGAGTAGCCTGCGTATGTTTTCTCACTTGAAGATATTCAAGATAAACAAAGACAGAAAATGAGAGTTCCAAATGAGAAATCCAGTGCCTGCAAAACTACGTTGTGTACAGCTCGTTGCATATGAGGTTAATAATTATAAGATGGCAGCTGTTGACGAATACTGTGGTCAGGTGATGCTGGTTTATTGCATGTCCTCACCTTTCCATATTTGATTTAAAAGGCCCAGAGGAATATCCCAGAGTAATATCACTATTAAGACAAGTCCCACAACTTAAAGGTGCAGTGTGTAAATTGTAGCGTACGGTGCCCGTTAGGTGACATGTTCGGTTCACTTAGTTGTATTTATTATGTCTACGGCTCACCCCACCAGAGAAGCTATGGCGGCCGATACAGGACTAAAGCCCAATTTATACTTCTGCGTCGAACCTACGCCTTAGCTTACGCATAGACGCACACCCATACGCCGCAGCCTGACCTGCACCTCTCTAAAAATCTAACAGCGCGTCAATTCTACGCAGACCGCAAGCACTGTGATTGGTCTGCAAGAACCCCTCCCTCCATATGTACTCGAGTTTTGTGTGTGTTTATGTGCACTTTAATATATTTTAATGTTACACCTTCTTATATAAAATAAAACAAAGCAAAGAACGAGTGTCTTATCATTTATTATACTACATAGCATTATACATCAGTAGTTGTCCGCAACAAACAATGTTGATCTGCCGTGGTACAAGTCCTTGTGCAGATTGAAAGAATGCCATCATCTCCTGTTCCGTTGTTGTCTCCTTTTTGTAGTTTTAAATAATGATTTAATGATTTGATAGCTTCTCCTACAAGCCGCTTCTTCTTCGACTTTTGCCGTGGTACTGCGGGTTACACCAGCAACATGCCCGTGGACACTGCGGACTAGCGGTTTGCATGTGTACTGCACGTTGACGCGGACAACGACGCAGAAGTATAAATGAAAACTGACACATAGCCTACGGCGTAGGTCAGACGCAGAAGTATAAATCAGCCTTAAGATGTCGTAGTTTGAGACAGCAGAGAGTAGCCAGCAGGCACAGCGCCAGAATTATTTCTCTACCGGTGCTAAGGGGAGGCTAGACCAATATGTGGGGGTGCTAAGAAAATAAATGATATTGATGACGTCAGAGTAAACCGGGGCTATTCAAAATTCTGACGGCGCTATAGCCCCCCCTAGCCCCAGTGTAGCGCCGTCACTGGTAGCCAGCAATGAGGTTTCTTTACAAAGGTAAATTAAGGAATTATATTTACTTAATTATTCAATAAAACAATGTTATTGCGAATATTATTGTTACTTCTTCATCATTGTGTCAGTGTTTTATTCGCAAGAACAACATAGTGACGAAACGTGCTCTGTTGGTCCTTTGCGACTTCCAAGGCCCTGTCCCAAATGGAACACTTCATGTGCACTTGTGGTCTTACAGACTTACAATGGCCGCCGTGTGCGCATGTCTGTTAAGTCCACGAGACCGTAGGGCGTCCCATTTGTCATTTTAGTGTTCAGAAGGGTGCTCGCGAGCACCACCTCTTGCGGCCGTTATGTGCCCTCGATCCGCACTTCTGCCGAGCCCGCACTGGGGCGAGCTCCGCAGCATACTTCTACCCGACAGTCAAAGCGGCATTACGTCACGAAAGTGCGGACTCAGAGGAAGACCGCTGGGGTTTAGGGTGCCATTTGGGACAGGGCCCATGTAAGGGGACCTGGTGTGCCTCACACGTCCTGAAAAGTGAAGCTGCAGGCTCTTTGATCTCCCCCTGGTGGCTGGCTGCAGTACAGGTCATAAACCCCGCCCTCTCCATGTAAACGAATGGGACTTGAGTCAAAATAAAAAAATAAATTACTCTTCCAATACAATTTTCCAAAAGATAGTTTTGGTCATTAAAGGTTGTTGTTTTCACGCTGATATATGTTCAATTGTTCGTTTTTGTGATAGGTTTGATTTTAGCTAGTAATTTGATGCTATGAAAACGGGGCGTGTCGTTATGGTTGATTGGGTCTGTGGGAGTTTGGGCGGGAGTTTGATACCGCAGCTCTACCTCACGACACTACTGCGCAGACTCGGGCTCCAAATGACGTCATTTACTCAAGATGGCAGCAGCCATACTGAGATGCTTTGGCTTCACTTTTCTATCGTGGAAGGAATAGGAGACGCGTCGTCCATCTTTTTTTACAGTCTATGAAGGGGACCCGCGGTGTATGTAGATATAAATTGCTCATTCTAAGTTAATAAAAACATAACGGTTCATTGTGTAAGGGCTTTATACACCTCTGAAAACATAGTTATGTATATTATATTGCATTTCTGTCAATAGATCCTCCTAAATATTATGCACTGCACCTTTAACTATGAAATTATAGGCTATTACCATTTACTATCACTAAAACCACTCGTCCTCAGACCAATCCTTCATTTAGATTAAAATATATCTCTTAAAAACACAAATATACATATGTATCTTTAAAAAACACATTACTACTTCTCTTAGTTTCTTTTGACATAGCAATAGCTTCTTTTGTCCTAAATTCTACTATATTTAGTTCAAAATTCATGTACATAATAGTATTTATTCCTTCGTCACTACCCTAGTTAGTGACAAGTAATTTCATTTTTACTGGTAACTAATTTAATTGGCATTGTGGGAATGTGTTTCAGATATTTATTAATTTATGAATTCTGTAGTATGTTTTCCAGTTGCTCGAACCTATTACAGTTTTACTTGTAGCTATTAAAATAGTTTCTAGTGTCTATTCTAGTTGTCGTAAACACTAGTTTTAACTTGTGGGATAGATTAAATAGACACTAGCCACTACTGGAATCAGTTCTAGTATCTAAATAATAGTTAGTAGTTTCATTGAAAAATGTACTAGTCAAGATTTGATTACTTCTTAGTTTTTTGTTTGTTTGTTTGAAACATTAAAATTGATAATACTTTGGTTTACATAATAGCTATATGATAGTTCAATGGCAATAACATTTATATTTCTGTACTCTAGTTTGAAATGCATGTAGCATTTACAACTGGTAATTTACTCCTCAGCTATGCATTTGACCGGAGGACAGGGGCAAAGGTGGCCATCAAGAAACTCCATCGTCCCTTCCAGTCTGACCTGTTTGCCAAAAGAGCTTATCGGGAGCTCAGGCTGCTCAAACACATGAAGCATGATAATGTAGGACGCCAAAGATCGACACTCCATGATGAGGGTTTCTCATCTGCCTGTCATATTTGAACAGATTTGCAGGCTTCATGCTGTGCTGTATTTAATAACCACTTTCTCTGGTTGAACCCGTACAGGTTATTGGGCTCATGGATGTTTTCACTGCAGACCTTTCTCTAGACAGATTCCATGACTTGTGAGTATTTTACAGGTGCTTTGACCATTTGGTCTAGCTGTGATTGTTTTGGATGTGTATAGTGATTCTTGGATGCATGGTCATCATCTGATTCTCCCTATCCTTTGCACAGTTACTTGGTCATGCCTTTCATGGGTACAGATCTAGGAAAGTTAATGAAAATGGAGAGACTATCAGAGGACAGGGTCCAGTATCTTGTCTACCAAATATTGAGAGGACTCAAAGTGAGTATTGTAAGTTTTTAGTAATAAATACTTGCTCTCTCAAATATATTGCCATAAATCTCTTTGTGTTCCCAGTATATCCATGCTGCTGGAATCATTCACAGGGTGCGTAAGGTTGTTTTAATCATAAATACATATGCACACATGTATTTCTCACTGCAAAACCTCTGACTTCATCTGTTAAAACCTGCAGGATCTCAAACCAGGCAATCTGGCAATAAATGAGGAGTGTGAGCTTAAGGTATCTTACCATGAAGTGGTATTTGCGTATTCATGCTGTGTGCCTCTTGTCGAGATAAAGCCTTGTGTCTTATATTACAGATCCTGGATTTTGGTCTAGCTCGGCAAGCAGACAGTGAAATGACGGGCTATGTTGTGACACGTTGGTACAGAGCGCCTGAGGTCATTCTTAGCTGGATGCATTACACACAGACTGGTTAGTTCCATGTTGCGTGCACTAATCTTTATATATCTTTATGTATTTATTTATTAGAATTTACTGGTTGCATGCATTTTTTGAGCATTAACTGAGGTTGCTCTGTACTGTATTGTGAAACACTATCCATACTGTGATTAAAATCATATGTTAATACTAAATAAAGATCAGTGTTAGCCTATTTTATTGCTCTCATAAAGGCAATAGAATATTCTGGATTAATGAAATAACGCACTATTGCTTTTTAAACTGATGATAATACAGAGATATGTTTGTGTTTGATTAAATGTTTCCCATCAGTGGACATCTGGTCAGTCGGCTGCATCATGGCAGAGATGCTGCTAGGGAAACCACTGTTCAAAGGAAATGACCGTATCCTTCCTCGCAGGAAAGCTGTGGATTTTATGCGCAAATTTAGGAGAATATTGTATTTCTGATGTGGTGACTATTTCCCTAAATCTCATCCCCAGTATATTTGAATCCTTGACCATTTTCCACCAGACCTGGATCAGCTGATGGAGATCATGAAGATTACAGGGACGCCCGCAAAAGAGTTCACAGCCAAAC